AGGGAAATATTTTTTCTTGGATATTCTTTCATTTTTAATTTTTTTATTATTTTATTTTATTTTATTTGTTTTAATTAATTTATTTATTTTGAGACAGAGTTTCACTGTGTCACCCTCTGTAGAGTGCTATAGCATCACAGCTTACAGCAACCTCAAACTCTTGGGCTTAAGCAATTATCTTGCCTTAGCCTCCCAAGTAGCTGGGACTACAGGCGCCTGCCATAATGCCCAGCTATTTTTTGTTGCAGTTGTCATTATTGTTTAGCTGGCCTGGGCTGGGTTCAAACCCGCCAGCCTCGGTGTATGTGGCTGGCGCTGTAACCACTGTGCTACGGCTGCCAAGCCCAATCCCCAATTGTTTTAAAATACTGTCAGGGGCATTTCCCCTGTATGAGGGCTCTTGACTCTATGACACACCCCAATACCTCACTGTGCAGAGGGCATCTATCCCCTAGAGAGGACAGGGAGTGAGGATGTTGTTTGCTCTGCAACTTCTCTGACAATCCCAAGCCATGTGGGCACAGATCACCCATGAGACTGGCATGGTAACATAGTTGGGTTTTGGGACATGGGGCTGGGCTGAGGTGGGCTGGGGGCTCGCTGAGGGGTGGGGGAATGGGGAGACAGGGATACCAGAGTCAGCCTACTTGGGTGAGGAGCGGGTGTAGAATGGTGCCTGCAGGATCCCAGCTGGAAACACAATCTCATTCTTGGTGGGTGAGTAGTAGGCATTCACCATGGGTGGTGTCATACTCCACCTGCAAAAGACACACACGCTCAAGATCTCAGGTACAGCTGATGGGCAGGTTGGGGGGACAGCCCACCTGGAGGGCAGCTTAGAGACTGGTATCAAGAACCCTAAAAGTGTAGATTCCTCTTGACCCTGGGCCCATGAACACGCAAGTATAAGCAGCGGCACTGTTTTTGAGGGGAAAACTAGAAGACACCTGACTGTCCATAAATAAGAAATTGGTTAAATGCACTACATCACATCCCACAGTAGAACGCTGGGGATCCTACAAAGAGCAAGATGGACCATTAGATATGGAAACGTCATCATTATCTAGGCTCGAAATATATCTATAGCAATTCTCAAAGTGTGGTCTGTGGACCCTGGGAGAAGGAATCCCCAAGACTTTTCCAGGGGGTCCTTGAAGTCAAAATTATTTTCATCATAATATTAAGATGTCATTTGCCTTTACCACTGTACCAACATTTGCACGGATGATACAGAAAGTTAAGCGGGTACAACTGTCAGAGCCTAAGCATGAATCAAGGCAAGTTCAGGTTACTGAGTTTGTCACCAGCCTGGTGTATTCAGAACAAATAAGCCATTTTCACTTAGAATACATTTAAAGAAGGAGCAAATTAGGTGGTGCCTGTGGCTCAAAGGAGTAGGGCACCAACCCCATATACCAGAGGTTCAAACCCAGCCCTGGCCAAAAACTGCAAAAAAAAAAAGCGCAAATTAATTAAATCTAGATCCCTAAATAGACTACATTGTTCTTTTTTGTTGTTGTTTGTGTTTAAAGATAGGGTCTTGCTCTGTTGCCCAGGCTGGAGTGCAGTGGTGCAATCATAGCTTACTGTAACCTCGGACTCCTGAACTCAAGCAATCCTTCCATCTCAGCCCCCTGAGTACCTGGAATTACAGGTGCATGCCACCATGCCCAGATTACTTTTATTTGCTTTTTTTTTTTTTTTTTTTTTTGCAGTTTTTGGCTGGTGGTTTGGTGGTTTGAACCCGCCACCTCTGGCATATGGGGCCAGTGCCCCACTCCTTTGAGCCACAGGTGCTGTCCCTTTATTTGCTTTTGGTAGAGATGAGTTTCCATAAATTGCCCAGGCTGGTCTCAAACTCTTGGCCTCAAGTGATAATCCCACTTTGGCCTCTCAAAGTGTTGGGATTATAGGTGTGAGACACCAAGGCTGGCCAAGATGATTTAACAATCCTCATGACCAAATGAGAAAGCCACAGAGAGCATTTCTGCTTTTGTCATGGACCACCATTGGTGCTGTTAGGACTGATAAACTACGGAATTTCAGACTTCGATATTTAGTAGACATTTTCCTAAAAATGAATAAAGCAAGCTTATCACCTTAAGGAAAACAACTCACATCATTTGTTGCCAATGATAAAAATAGGAATTTTCAATAATTTTTTTTTTAAAGTTCAACGTTTCAAGCCAAAATAAACATTTTGAAAATCTTATCTTGGCCACTACAATTTCTTTCTTTCTTTTTTTTTTTTTTTTT